CTTATGAACAGCAATGATAGTGTTTCCTTGGTTACCGCTGTAAACAAAGCAGAGCTGCACTTATGAACAGCAATGATACAGTGTTTCCTTGGTTACTGCTGTAAACAAAGCAGCGCTGCGCTTATGAACAGCAATGATACAGTGTTTCCTTGGTTACCGCTGTAAACAAAGCAGCTGCACTTCTGAACTTTAATATGCATTATACAGAGGCAAGGTGAAAAGAAAAAATACCATCGAAAGACGTAAGTAAGTTCCCCTCAGACATGCATTCATAAAAACTACCCCTAATTGAATCGCAATTTGTTTAGCATCTCAACCGATTTGAATCGTCACATATTTGTATCGATTTTCAACCGGCTCACGGTTAATCGGTACATCCCTACTTTGAAACGCGCAGCGCAAACAGACTTGATAAAGGGATTAAGCATATTGTGCTTTCAGTTTTAGTTCATTTGACAGATACTGTGCCAAAGCATAATGCCCCAAAACACAACTTCAAAGACCTTTTATGTTAGAATAAGAAGTTTAAATATATTTTAAAAATTACACTTTTTGCCCGGAAGACCCATCGTTTCATATCGACATGTGACCATGATAATATCGAGACAGTTTTGCTATCGCGATATTGATGATATTGTTGCATCCCTAATTCTCCTCTCTGTCCTCTGTTCTAGTGTTGGATCTTCCGCTGTGTCCGGACACGTTTGAGGCCGAGGACAAGTCTCCGCTGCCGTTTGCCCTGTATCCCGACCCTCGCTTGTGGAGCCCTAAAACGCGGCGTCTGGAGGTCAATATCGTCCCTCGGCCGCGACCGTCCCCCAACCGCCCCCGCATCGACCCGTGGAGCTTCGTATCGGCTGCCAAGACGGTCATCAGCAGCCCCAGCAGCCCTCGCCTGGCCTACCAGCCCTCGTCCACAAACCCCTTCACAAACTGTGACCTCTTCCCTTCCCCGGACTGCGACCCCTTCCATCTGAGGGTCGACCCTGCTGTGAACTCGGACCACGCCTCAACCTTTGACCCCTTCTCGGCCCCGTTCCCCACCTCGCGCTCGGCGCCCTGCTCCACCAACGGCAGTCCCAATCTGTCGCTCAGGGTGGCGCCGCTGAACCCGGCCGACTCGCCACTCATAGACCTGGCCTGGATGGGCGGCACCAAAGAGAGGGTCCATCCTCACCGGAGCCTCGGCCTCAGCCCGTTCAGATCGCAGGCGCCGCTCAGAGACGACCGCTTCTGAACGCTGTCCCGTAAACCAGGGCCGTGCCAACTCTGGGAACCAAACGCAGGGGATTTCCATTTGACGCAGTGTTGTTGATGTGTCAAATGCTCGTTTGGGTGATCTTTCTGTGCTGTCTCAGGGTCTTATTGGCCTCTAGTTGTGCTTAAATAGATCCGCACTTGTTGCATCGCTTTAATCAGTCTCAAAAGTGATGCAGTCGCATCAGATTCGTCTCTGTTGGCCATTAAGGTTGCGTTATTGTGCATTCCGAGAGCGTTATGTGCGGGAGAATCCGTTACACATTCCACATACAGCGGTGGCCAAAATCATCAGAACACTAGTATTCTCAGCAGCTAAAAATGTGTTTTAGTCAGTTATTTCTATCTTTTGCTGTAGTGTGTCAGTAGGAAATATCAGTTCACATTTCTAAACATTCATTTGGCCATTAATTGTAATAATGCAGTGAGATATATGTTTGTGCTGCACACAGAGATCTGATCTGATCATCATCAGTCTGTCTGGAGTCACATGAAGAAACAGAACAAACTGAGACAGACTCAATCCAGAAGAACTGTGTCTCCGAGACGCTTCAAGAAACCTCCTGCAAAGCTACAGTGCTGTTAAAAGTTTTGACGTTGCACAGTTCTTCTGGATTTAGTCTGTCTCAGTTTGTTCTGTTTCTTCATAGAAATAACTGACTTAAAACTGTTTTTAGCTGGTGAAAGTACTAGTGTTCTAATCATTTTGGCCACCGCTGTAGTTGCCAAAGATTGGAAGATGTTCACGTCTGATGATGAGTTGTGGTTTATGTTGAAGCCGGTCAACAAGCGAGCAGAATGGATCAAGTAATTCACATCATGCATGAGAAACGTTCTGCTGACCTCGCTGGTGGTGTTTGGGAGGGAGAAGTGCACTTAACCCGTTTTAACTAGACTGCAACCGTTTGTGCTGAGTCCGAGATTAAGGCAATGTGTCAGCAGACAGAAGTGGAAATAAAGATCAGCCTGAGATCTTGAACTCACAAAGCCGTTTTATAGATGCCATGGTGTTGGTATATAATAATAGTCCAAAGCAATATGGAAACCCAAATGTAAACCTCAAATCACAGTATATTTGTCTTGTTTTCCAGTAAAATAATATTTAAATATTCTTGAAATGAGATGCATTTTGTTTTTCTCAAACCTCACACAATTTAGTTAGATTTATGGCTAAAACATTTTGGCAATGCAATGAGACTGATGTATGTCGGTGTACATGCTTTTGACAAAAGTTCATACAAGCCGATTTTAGGTTGGATTTCCAGTACAAAATATCTAAAGGTTCTAAATTAATATACATTTGCTGGAGATGAAAAATTAATTATCTATCAAAATTATAAAATGAAGTGATTTTATTCATAGAACAAGAACGAAACTGTTCATGGGGTAAGAAAAATGAACTTCAAGTTTTTTTTTTGTTTTTGTTTAACTCTAACCCCCGGTTTCAGGCTTAAATGTAAGTCTGAGCTGTTTCAACTGAAAGAAACTTGCACTGATTGATCTTAAAACATGTCAGTGCCTTTGCTTTGTCTTAAGATGCACACCAGTAAAGTTGTTTCTAAGGCAAGTTTAAAAAAAAAAAAAAGAGTTAAATGTCCTAATTGAACTATGGCTTAGTCTAAGCCCTGTCTGTGGAACCAGGCCTATATTTTCTCTCTTGATTTAAGCATAAACTCATTTCATTTGATCATTTTTATCGGAAAACCAGACTTGACATCTTAAGGAGTTTTGTTTCTCAAGTAAATCCATCTTTGAGAATGGGTAGGTATTTGCACTGGAAAATAAGAGAAAAACCCAGAGAAAATCACTTTTGCATTGCTGGACGCTTCGCTCCGTCATGAAGCGCTTGTAGAGCAGAGCAGATTTACAAATGCCAGATCATTTTTAAGTGTCTCGTTATTAGATATCTTGCGTATTATTCCAGATTTTTGACACCGTAATAACTGCATACAGCAATGGATATATACTGCGGGGAATCAGTCTGTGAATGCCGTAGAGTGAATCTGCTGTACTTCACCACTGCATACCACTGCAGCATAACCTCAACTAGAATAGTATAAGTGTGTGTGACCCTGATCCTCATTGGGCTTTATCTTTCATATGTGATTCCCACCACCGAATAAAAGGTCATTGTAACAATCTCACAGTTAATATCTCGCAATTCTGACTTCATATCTGAGTCGAAGTCTGAGCTGTGAGATATAAACGTAGAATTGCCAGAAAAAAAGTCCAAATTGAAGGAAAAACTGTAAATTTGTGAAGGAGAAACCTTTTTATTTTATTTTTTTATTCCATGGCAGAAATAAGCCTTTATGCAATCATTATACAATTACCACAGAAAAAAAAAAAAGTAATTTAATAGCAAATTTTTATCTCAGAATTCTGACTTTTTTCTCAGAATTGTGAGTTCATATTTTGTGATTTTCACTTTGTATCTTGCAATTAAATTTTTTTCTCTGATTTTTTTTTTTTTTAAAGTCAGAATTGTGATAAAAACGTGCAATTATTATTAATTGTAACAGAAACAATCTTTCATAGAATTGCAAGATAACACACACACACCAACACGAGGATCATCATCATCATCCTCATGCGTTTGGGCGACGCAACGTATGCAGATCCTGCTTGCAGCGAATAAAGCTAATCGCAAGCTATTAATATTTATTTAACACACTGGATTCGAGAGATTTTAAAGGCTCAGAGACACAGTCCACGTTAGGATGCTTTATTAAATTCTATATTGATAAATATCTTTAGGTTTTGTTCGGTTCTTCACTGGAGTCTGTGGAGTTAGTGGTGCTGCAAAGGGACAAATCTGTGTTTTACAATGTCAGAAATACAAACAAAGGCTTGCCTCGATTGAAAAGAGAAATGTCTGAACTGTTTTTCCTTGGAATTCTTCTATTATGCTCATTGTTTTTTAGATTTATTTGACCAAAACACTCCAGGCGTCTCTCAGGACAGACGGATGTTCACGTTTATCTTCCACTACCTGCTAAAAACTCGCCGATTTGAGGAGAATCTTCTTTTCATGTTGATTCATGTTTTATTGTAAGCTTATTGCTATATATTCAGTTCTGGTGAAGCCTGTATAACATATGTCGTGTGTGTGTGTGTGTGTGTTATTCTCAATGGGCTGGACCTAATCACTCCATTACTGTGTGTGTGTGTGCGTGTGAGTGTGTGTGTGTGTGTGTGTGTGTGTGTGTGAAAAATGAACTTCAAGTTTTTTTGTTTGTTTTTGTTTAACTCTAACCCCCGGTTTCAGGCTTAAATGTAAGTCTGAGCTGTTTCAACTGAAAGAAACTTGCACTGATTGATCTTAAAACATGTCAGTGCCTTTGCTTTGTCTTAAGATGCACACCAGTAAAGTTGTTTCTAAGGCAAGTTTAAAAAAAAAAAAAAGAGTTAAATGTCCTAATTGAACTATGGCTTAGTCTAAGCCCTGTCTGTGGAACCAGGCCTATATTTTCTCTCTTGATTTAAGCATAAACTCATTTCATTTGATCATTTTTATCGGAAAACCAGACTTGACATCTTAAGGAGTTTTGTTTCTCAAGTAAATCCATCTTTGAGAATGGGTAGGTATTTGCACTGGAAAATAAGAGAAAAACCCAGAGAAAATCACTTTTGCATTGCTGGACGCTTCGCTCCGTCATGAAGCGCTTGTAGAGCAGAGCAGATTTACAAATGCCAGATCATTTTTAAGTGTCTCGTTATTAGATATCTTGCGTATTATTCCAGATTTTTGACACCGTAATAACTGCATACAGCAATGGATATATACTGCGGGGAATCAGTCTGTGAATGCCGTAGAGTGAATCTGCTGTACTTCACCACTGCATACCACTGCAGCATAACCTCAACTAGAATAGTATAAGTGTGTGTGACCCTGATCCTCATTGGGCTTTATCTTTCATATGTGATTCCCACCACCGAATAAAAGGTCATTGTAACAATCTCACAGTTAATATCTCGCAATTCTGACTTCATATCTGAGTCGAAGTCTGAGCTGTGAGATATAAACGTAGAATTGCCAGAAAAAAAGTCCAAATTGAAGGAAAAACTGTAAATTTGTGAAGGAGAAACCTTTTTATTTTATTTTTTTATTCCATGGCAGAAATAAGCCTTTATGCAATCATTATACAATTACCACAGAAAAAAAAAAAAGTAATTTAATAGCAAATTTTTATCTCAGAATTCTGACTTTTTTCTCAGAATTGTGAGTTCATATTTTGTGATTTTCACTTTGTATCTTGCAATTAAATTTTTTTCTCTGATTTTTTTTTTTTTTAAAGTCAGAATTGTGATAAAAACGTGCAATTATTATTAATTGTAACAGAAACAATCTTTCATAGAATTGCAAGATATTAACTGGGGGGGAAAATCTGAATTTTGAGATGCAAATTTAGAATGTAGAAACATATCAATTATAAGAAAGTAATTCAGAAATGTGAGATGGAAAAAGTTGCAGTTTCCATAGTTTCCATTACAAGTTTCCATAGATCTGTGAGATTGTTCCATAGAATAAACTCAGAGTTTATAACTTGCAATTGTGAGATATGAATTCACAATTGGGACAAAAGTCTGAATTGTACGGAAGAGGATTAGGGCCAAGCAATAATAAAAAAATAAAACCATCTCGAGATTGAAGTCGAGTTTTTCCTCTAAACATAACGAGTTTATTCTCGAAATTTAATGAGTTTAATCTCAACATTTTATCTCGATTTATTTCTTGAAATTTAACGACTTTAATCTCGAGATGGTTTCATTTTTTTATTATTGCTTGGCCCTAACCCTCTTCCATAGAATTGCAAAATGTAAACTTCAAATTTAGGGGGAAATAACAAAATTGTGAGATATAAATATATTTGAATTCTGAGGAGAAGATGTAACTATATACTTGCATTTTATATATATATATATATATATATATATATACAAATAATATACACTTGCAATTTGGAGTTTATAACTTGCAGTTGTGAGATACAAATTCATAATTGTGAAAAAATAAGTCAGAATTGTGAAATAAAAAAGTCGCAATTACCTTTTTCTTTTTTTAGTCGGTGGTGGAAACAGACTTCCATTGAATTGTGAGCTATGAACTAAGAATTCAGAGAAGCAAAGGCTGAATTGTGAGATTAAAAGTCACAATTACCTTTTTTATGTTTTTATTCTGTGGTGAAAATAAGAAGCTTCCACAGATATGGGATATTTCTGCTTGACATCTTTGTCCTCAAACACCGCTGCTAGTTGTGGTCAGATCAGATCGTTTCTGCTCATGAGTGATGAAGATGATTGTGAAGATGATCAGGTTCTGTGTTTTGGCTCGCGCTGTGTAACGCCACCATCTGTTCACTC